GAGATAAACATTTTCTTAGCTCGCCGGAGGAGCGTGGGAGCTAAGAAAATGTTTATCTCCCTGAGCCTGGCCTTCTTCATTCCATTCCATCACACAGGCCAATCCAATCCAAATCCACCTATTTGCCATAATCCAACCAATCCAATCCCACTGCTATCTAATCCGGGTTTACCTAATCTAATTTAATCCAATCCATTTGCTATCTAATCCAGTCCAATTTAATCTAACCTGATCTAATCTAATACGATCTAGTACCTAATCTAATTTATCCTTCAACTCCTTTCTATAGCAACTGGCACCCTACCTCCATAACTCTACTTGTTAATAGAAGCCCCGCTTGTTCTGAGGACAATTTCATTTGCTTTCTCGTACTGGAACGGCATCTCAGCAGTGAGGCCACTGGGGAAAAGGGAGATCACTGCACAATTTAGAGACCTCGGTGGAACTAAGGGCTGCTAAAGAAAGAATGAGTTTGGAGTTCTTTTCTGCTCTTTGTGAAATTGTCGGGGTTTAGCCAGGATTTAGCCATGCTGCCCTGTGGATGGTTGACTTGGGAACCTATGCTCTGAAACACATGAAGGAATAAGGGTGGAGAGATGACAATGTGCTTTGTAGGTCAACGACCAAAATGATTGCTGATGGTGTGCAAAGGAGAACGCATCTCATCCTTGAATACGTTCAACCAGGACCTGCAAATGTTGGCTTACGGAGAAGATCGCTAGCCCAGGTTTCCCCACCCTGGCCCTCCCAAATGGATTGGGAGCCCAGTTCCCAGCATTCCTAGGCAATACAGCTTGGCATTCTGGGAACGGTGGCCCAAACACATCAGAAGAGCCCCGGGCTTGGTCTTGGCTCGCCCCAAGCATTAGAAAGGAAACACATGATTACCGATTTGGTGGTCTCGGTTTCGGTCTGGCTTGCGTCCAGTTTCTTCTGTTTCGGTTTTGGAAGAGGAGGTGGGACGTACTTCGGCTTGGGTGGGGGTTCCTCGGGGGGTGCCCGCGGCTTCGTTTTGG